CGACTAATTGGCCATTTAACTAATGAACTCGCCTCGGGGGAAAATTAGTTGACAAACGGTAAAACTCTCGTCCATCTTAACTGATGGGTTGGAGGTTAAACCATTTCCTACGAATTTCAACGTGCAGCAGAGGTTCTTGACTTGTGGCTCTTTGACCTCCCGTGGAGTCCAGGAATCGTTTATTCATATGGAGCCCAAATATAAAGAAGCAATCTTAAAAACAAAAACATCAATGAAATACTTTCTAACTAAAATTTACCACTTAAAGTAATTAAATAAGGTGCTCTGGTTAAAAATTAAAAAAAAATATTTTGAGAACCCCTTTTTAGAGAGATTTGAAAACAGGAAGCACATTTAATGAATACCTCAAGGGGAAATGTATACAAGTTTTTAGGATGTCGGGCTGAATTTTAAATTGAATATTTTAGTAAAAAGACTGTCTTCCTTGATAATAGGATCACTGTACAAATCTTAACCTACTTTGGAAGGAAGGAAGGGCCTATTTATATTAGATATAATCATAATGTTTTTGCCGGGGGTGGGGGTGGGGGGTGGGGGTGGGGGTGGGGGTGGAGGGATGGCGTAGGTATGAGTCAGTCAGAGGGCAACGTAGGCACAGATGGAGCGTAGAGTTGTGGAGGTATTTGTATTTGAAAATATCAGCTATTTTTTCTCAACTTTTTTTGTTTGTTTGGTTCAGTCTCTAGTGTATAATTGTGAATATTTCGGGTGTGCGCATCTTTCAAAGCAAACACAATCTAGCTGCAAAACTTGTACCTAACTTATTTACAAGTCAATAAAGGTGTACCGCAGATGGAGTGACACCGCTGTGAAGGTGTGCCGCAGATGGAGTGACACCGCTGTAAAGGTGTGCCGACCATACAGCACTGTTTCTCAACTTCCTTAATGGCGTGACCCTTTAATACAGTCCATCATGTTGTGGTGACCACAAACCAAAAAATTATTTTCGTTGCTACTTCATAAATATGTGTGTTTTCCGATGGTCTTAGGCGAGCCACAAATAGAGAGACGTTGCTTTGACGGGTGTCCTTTCGATGTGCCTGCATGACTCAGGTTCCCAAACCATATATATATATATATATATATATATATATATATATATATATATATATATATATATATTTTTGTTCGTCCGTCGAGGATCGACGATGACCATCGAGTCGTCTGGTGACTGAAATGTTGTGTAAAAAAAAAAAAGAAGAAAACACACAAATCAATATATATATATATATATATATATATATATATATATATATATATATATATTGTTGTTCGTCCGTCGAGGATCGACGATGACCATCGAGTCGTCTGGTGACTGATGACTTGCGCGGGTGACTTTTGTTTAAAGTGAGGAAGAGTTGTGCAGCGTCAACCTCACTCTCTCGTCCGAGCCCACCATATCCAGTGGCAAGACTCTACGTATATATAGACAGGGTGGGCCAATAAAAGTTAGACAATTTCGTAGCGTAATGTTTTACGAGATGTTCTCACTTTTATTGGCCAACTCTCTCTCTCTATATATATAATATATGTATATATATAGTAACATGTTTTTCATCCAATATATAAATAAACATAGTTTTAGTTTAAGACATGTTTGATTGCGATGATTAAAGCTGTTTATTTTTATCAAGCGTTACAGACCATGGTTAAGTTTTCTCCCATTCCAAACCCACTTAAGTCACAACATTCACCATGTCTCTCTTGGTTAAGATGAGCAAACAACAGAGCGTCGGGTGCTAGGTAGCCGGGGCGATCTCAAGTTCATGGTCTGGAGTTCAAGCAAACTGGGTGAATGGGACTCGTTTACCTTGGATGGCAACTCAAATCAGGTGATGGATAACATCAACACACTGAAACATTTCGACAACTCCTGCGACGCCACTGGTGCCAAGCTGTATCGTCCACATGATGTTCCCTTGGGTTATCCAGCGGCGAGGTGATGTGTAGAAGCTTAGGGGGGTGGGGGATCATGATGCTATTAAGTGATGTGTAGAAGATTATGGGGATCATGATGTTTTTAAGTGATGTGTAGAAGATTATGGGGATCATGATGTTTTTAAGTGATGTGTAGAAGATTATGGGATCATGATGTTTTTAAGTGATGTGTAGAAGATTATGGGGTATGATGAAGTTATTAAGAGATGTGTAGAAGATTATGGGGATCATGATGTTTTTAAGTGATGTGTAGAAGATTATGGGGGATCATGATATTTTTAAGTGATGTGTAAAGATTATGGGAATATCATGATGTTATTAAGAGATGTTTTTAAAACTGAATAATACCGGTTAAAATGAAAATTGATATCATCATGATAAATTTTATTGTTCTGTAAATTGTTGTTACAGCCTGAGACCTAATTATAATGTTCAGTGATAATGTTCAGTGAGAATGTTAAATGATAATGTCCAATGAGAATGTTCAATGATAATGTCCAATGAGAATGTCCAATGAGAATGTTCAATGAGAATGTTCAATGAGAATGTTCAATGATAATGTTCAAGGACAATGCACATTCAAAATGTTCAGTGAAAATTGCATTATTATGAAAGTCTTGAATATATTTAGAAATGTACATTTCTTGAAGTAATTGTTAAAAAGTAAAAGTTTGCATATCATCACGTGATCATAGAGGTAGACAGAAAGTAATGGTTAACATACAGTCAGATATCCTACCATCATGTGATCATAGAGGCAGCCCGATCATATTATCGATATGTTAAGCAGCTACTCCCTTTCTCCGATCTATAGACGTATTCTTGCTATGTGCGCTCCACTATTTTATATTTAGTTATGTATTTTTAAAAAAAAACGTAGTAAGAACAAAACTGTTTTTTTGTTGCAAGTTCAGATTCAGATTTGTATGTGTTCCGAGCTGAGCTCCGAGAAAAACATATATTGTTTTCAACAGCTCAATCCAGAGCTCCCACAGTGCCTTAGAATTTCAATTTTTATCTAACTTTTATAACCGTTTAATGGTTTCATTATGGATATTTTTTTTTTAGCTCATCCCTAATTCCTATCTTGAATAAAAATCAAGAGTTACTATATACGGTCTCCATCCCTTTGAACTTCTTATTATTTAGAGCACATGTGCCACTCTCATGGCCCGCGGGTGACATGCGGCCCGCCGTACAATTATATCAGGCCCGCGAGGACTTGACCGGCGTACAATTATATTCAAGTCAACGCTATGGTTTTCCCCAATGTGCTTTAGGGACTTTGAAGAACAGAAATGTAATTTCGAGCTGTTTCGTATTAATCCATTTGTAATAGACGTGGAAACTGCACCTGTAAGTTTGCAGATGGAGCTAATAGAGCTGCAGTGTAATGGGACACTAAAGGCAAAGTACGACACAGTTGGGCCTGCACAGTTCACTCGTTTCATTCCTGAAGAGATGCCCCAGCTTCGTCTACATGCGGCTCGAACCTTGAGCATGTTGGGTAGCACATATTTGTGTGGCATGTTGGGTAGCACATATTTGTGTGGCATGTTGGGTAGCACATATTTGTGTGGCATGTTGGGTAGCACATATTTGTGTGGCATGTTGGGTAGCACATATTTGTGTGGCATGTTGGGTAGCACATGTTTGTGTGGCATGTTGGGTAGCACATGTTTGTGTGGCATGTTGGGTAGCACATATTTGTGTGGCATGTTGGGTAGCACATGTTTGTGTGGCATGTTGGGTAGCACATGTTTGTGTCAGCGGCTGTTTTTGAAGATGAACAAAGCACCAGACAGGAGTCGTCTCACTGATGAACACTTGCAGTCCGTCATGAGAATCTGAATGGCACCAGAACGTTTTGGTTTTTGTCGCCAAGAAAATGTGCCAAACGTCCAGCTCTGACAAATGGGCATCAGAACGAAAATGGGGCATGCCAATGATTTTTAATGAGTAATTTGTTTTTCTGTTTTCATTTACATAAATGTGTTTTAAAAAAAAAGGATCAACTTTCCACTTATTGGATGTTTATCCTGTTCAGCCCGCAAACTTACGTGTGATTTGAGTTTTGGCCCGCCGAGCGATTGAATTTGACACCCCTGGTTTAGTGTAAGATAAGATAGTGTTTTCTTTTAGTTAATTTTTATACGTTATATTTAACATCACCCCTTCTAACATTAGGGGTTATTTTGAATAATGAACTAACTGGAGAATTTATAATCTATTTGCAAATAACCTGAATGGAAATTTTACTTTCATTGCCGAATACAGGAAAATTTTTCATTAGAAAAAGTTTTAATCAATCTAAAAAAATACAATGAAGTACAGTGCTTATGAGATGTTTAATTTAATTTCGTTTCTCTTTGTTCATTGTGTAATGTAGCAAATATCAACTTTACGAACCTTGAATTTTCTTTTCTTTGCAAATCATCTCATCAACCCAGGCAACAAAATTTTTTTTTTCAAAATGTAAAAAAAAAAAAATAAATAAAAAAAAAAATAAAAAAATACAGAACAATTTTTTCATTTTGTAATGTAGCAAATATCAACTTTACGAACCTTGAATTTTCTTTTCTTTGCAAATCAACTCATCAACCCAGGCAAAAAAATTTTTTTTTTCAAAATGTAAAAAAAAAAAAATAAATAAAAAAAAAAATAAAAAATTGCGGAACACATCGCCATTGCCCCTTGATAAACAAAACCAACACACTAGAGTCATTTGAATAGGACATTTATTCCAACTTTGAACATTTCATTTTTGGAAGCGTCCAGCTGAGAAATAATTTCCATGGCAACCATAACAGACGATGGCACAATGCTTAGTAGTATCCTCTGCCTGTTGACATATGAGAACAATTAGGTTATAAACGACACAGCTCTTATTGTATGGCTATCGTATGTATATCTTGATACTATTTTACATACGATCGTACAATATAGCGCAAATGATAACATAATATGAAGCTGAGAGAAAAAATTCTACTACTAATAAAAATGAAACGCTCCGTTAATGAATTGAAAAAAACAACAAAACCTTACCGTATCCGAGACCCCCGTATCCGAATCTGCCAAGGCCGCCATACCCGAGACCACCTCCGAGACCAAGGCCTCCACCGATTCCGATGCCTCCACCGATTCCGATACCTCCACCGATGCCTCCACCGATGCCTCCACCGATTCCAATGCCTCCACCGATGCCTCCACCAAGTCCGATGCCTCCTCCGAAACCTCCGAGACCCCCAAGACCTCCATAGCCTAGACCGCCAAGACCGCCAAGACCCCCAATACCTCCGAGACCCCCGAGGCCTCCGAGACCCCCGAGACCTCCGAGACCCCCGAAGCCTCCCAAGCCGTAGCCGCCAAATGAGCCATGGACGCTGACTGAGAGCAGGGCGAGGGCAAGAAATGTGATGAATGTGTTCATTTTTCTGTGGTAAGAAATAAACACAGGGACTTATTGATAAAAGCACATGTAGTTATTGATATAAATACATGGATTTGTTGATGTAAACATATGGGTTTGTTGATATAAACTCATGGACTTTTTTTTATATAAATACATGGATTTGTTGATATAAACTCATGGATATAAACGCATGGAATTTTTTATATAAACACATGGATTTGTTGATATAAACTCATGGATATAAACGCATGGACTTTTTTATATAAACACATGGATTTGTTGATATAAACACATGGATTTGTTGATATAAACACATGAATCGACTTCACATCTAGCTACATCCCATTTAAGTCATTTGATTGCAACTAATGTGACAAAGCAGTCATTTCATCGCAATAGGTACCATATAACAAGTCATTCCAACTCAATCAAAGGCTGCACATAAAGTCATTCAAAAACTACGTTCCCACACACTCTTAAACATTGCCACAGCAGGGGCAGTTCCAGATCTATTTACAGCTTTTGATTTATTATCTTTAGAAAAATAAATATTTTAATCCATAAAATTAACAGACTAGCGATAAAAAAGAAACTGGTTTGCCTGCCAAGATTTTGGATTAACTTTTGAATACATAGAAATGAATTCTAACAAATGTCTGTCTGAGAAAAGTCACATTCATATTACAAAGAAACGAAAGATAGCTTGGCATTAAAGTTTTTTGATCAATTTGACAACGTAATGATTTACAAAGTTCCATTTCCGGCCATTTGTCAAATTTATTAGACTTCAATAATATGTTTTGAGTCTAATTATAAAGAATATAGCACAAATAAAGCAAAAAAGCACACTGTATGTGTTAACTCATTGAAGTGAAACGTCTAACGAGAGCTACTTACATAAACGAGTCCCGGACCGTGGAGCTGATTGGAACAAGTTTGAGACTTTAACGATGGTGGTCGTAAGGGTAGCCGACATCCTTATTTATACCATCTTCTCCGATTCTTCTGGTCAGCTGATAGCTAACCTCCGGGCCTGGATGTCATGTTAAGCCAAACAGATTAGGACAAGAATCTTTGTCGTCGCAACCAACCGCTGTTGGATTTTGAGGACACATCACAGGCGTTATGTGGCCTAGACGGTCGTAAAAATAACTAATTACCGCATGGATGGCCACATACCAATCAAAGTGAACTGCTCGTTAAGCAGAAGATATCTTAGCTAGCCCGAGGACTCAAGGTTCAATTAATTTCAGAACTACTTTAAAAAATGATAAAAAAAGAACTTAAAATTGCAGTAATTGGTGCACGCCTTCAAATCAGGGCCGTCTTTACAGCAGTGGTGGCCCGGGCACAGTAATGCACCGAGACCCTAAACGCTCTTTATACTCAGCGCAGTGCGAAGGTGGGGGGCGAGAGGGCCAATCACTACCATGGGGGGGGGGGCAAAATCGTCTAAAGATAAGTTCTTAATAGTGAATGAAACGATGAAATCCCATCTACCTCCAATAGGCAGGGGCGGAGAAAATCGTCTTGTTAGTGCCCCCCCGGGCACCGCTATCCCAGGGGGGGGGGGGCAAAATCGTCTAAAGATAAGTTCTTAATAGTGAATGAAACGATGAAATCCCATCTACCTCACATAGGCAGGGGCGGAGAAAATCGTCTTGTTAGTGCCCCCCCGGGCACCGCTATCCCATGGCACATGGCAAGATTCTGTCTATAGCCCACTATTCAAGTCATGTTATGAAAAGCATTAGGGTTTTGACCAGTTCCTTTCAGTATTTTTTCCGCGACGTAGTGGGGGGGGGGTAGTGTTTCCAACGTGCGGGGGAGGGGGCCGGGGCAACTATCAGCACCAAAATTAGGAGTTTTGATGCCCAGGGCCAGCTCTGACTTTATTTGCCACCGCCATACACAACCATAAATTCAAACTGGTAGGTGAGCCCCCTGAGGTTATGCTTTTAGCCCAAGCTTAGTTTTATCCCTAGACTCATTTTGGAATCTTTCTAGTCGAACTAGGTTTACCGAACAAAAGGAAAATCATAATTTTTCCTTTCAAATTTTTAAATTTAAAAATCGCTCTATTTCCTTACATCCAGCGCTTTTGTCGATTATAATTTGTCGGTGCTGTCACTTTAATTCGGGAGGGAGAAGAGATCGAGGGCGCCGAACGAAACTGTGGCGTAATGTGGAGAGAGGTCTCAGTAAGTCACGCCCCCCCCCCCCCCCC